AAAGAAAAGAAAATTTATATTAAAATAAAAAAAAAACGATTCTTTGTTTTTTGTTCCAATTAAAGATTTCTAAATGAACTTGATCAAGATAAAGCAACAAAATTAGTTGAACTTGAAAAAGATTTAAATATTCGTCAAGAACAAATTCTTGATGCAGCACGTAAACGTATCGATTTAATTAATGAAGAAGCAAATCGATTAAAAATGGTATAAAAACTTGATTTCATTTATATCATATGTTGTTTTTTTCTTTTTATTTATAGAATGTTCTTAAAGAAGCACAAGCTAAAACAAATTCAAAAATTGAAGAAATAGCTGAAAAAGTTGTTCAAGTATGATTATTAATTTTAATTTTTTTGTTTTAATATTTTTTATTATAGCTTGAAGCTGAAGATGCAAGTCGTCGTTTAACAAGTACAACAAAGACAATAATCACAACACGAGCACAAGCAGAAGGTCATCCACCAAAACACAATTGACTGTATAATTTATCATGTTTATTTTTCAACAAAAAAAAAAAAAAAAAAAAAAAAAAAAAGAACAATTGTATTATATACATAATGTTTATTAAATATATTTATTTGTGTATTGCCTCGTTTCACATAAATAAACATTATCTGCAATATTATCATGATTAGTATTTTAATTTTCATTATCATTTCTATTATCAAATTCAAATTGCGAACGTTGATTTACATCTTTATAATCGTTTAATAAGGAATTAATACACATGTCATTTTTATGACGATGTTTATGGTAGATTTGTTTATTTTTATGGTTTTAGAGATAATACAGAATATGAGAATGTAGAAACATGTTTACTTAAAAAAATAATATTTGTTGGCATGGTATAACTAGACTTCTCAACCTTTAGATACTACATAATGTTCTAATTAAAGCTCTAAAAAAGATTTGGATTTGACTAAACCTATGGAATTTTTTTGCTAAAAACCTCAAGCTTTCAGAAAATTCGTCGATTTAGAGAATTAAACTAGACTAACTTTCATTGAAAAAATTTAGAAGATTTGAACAAAGTTTCTTCAAGATATAGACCTTTTTCCATGGATTATAAATTTTTTTACTGAAATTTCTCTAATTGAGTTCTTGAGATGTGTAAATTTTTTCAAAAACTTGAGACAAATTCGACAGCTTAGTCAAACTTGAATTCTTTTCGGATTTTTTTTAGTAGAAACTTACGAAGTGATAATAGGCAAACAAATCATTGAAATCAAAAGGAAACATCTGAGAAGATTTCTTTATAAGACAAATTTATCTATACATTGGTTTGAATAACGACAACAACTTATAATTTAGTCTTAGCCTATGGCAAAAAGATTTTAAGCGAAATTTCTTATGATATAGAAACAAGCAAGACAAACCATATTTCTCGTTTGAGAGATGAAACACTTAGCAAAGAATTGAGAAAATTGTTTTTTAGCAACAATAATTGCGTGTATCATCACCCTATTAACGATTTCAATTTCAATTCTTAAAACAAGCAACTTCGTCTGTACATATTAGACGAGTATTTTTCTTTTTTAGACTAAAAACTCATCCATTTCATAGTTGTTCCAAGTTGATATACTTTAAACAAATGCTCAGTCAAGTTTTTTTACATGTAAAAAACAATATTTCCATTAATAACAAGCATATTTATATGGAGGTTAAAAGTATTTCATTAATATTACTTTTATTATAATGGGAAAAAGCCATTTACTTGTTGTTTATCATTCGAATCAATAGATTGTTCTTTATCATCATCATCATTGATGTTATATAGTAATGGAAACTAGGGGAATACGGATCCACGTTTTTGTGAACCTGGATCTGGAAGGAACATCAGCATCCTCATGAAAATAAATGCAAATAATGCCGATGTACTGTAAGATTATTGACACTTTTAAAACTACACAAATAAAATCATTACGAAAGTGAATAGTCAGAACATTGGATACATTTATGTACAACATAGACATGCATGTTTTGTTGCTGAATCAAGAAAAAAAAACATGAAATTGTTATTTATGTTTTTCAAATAAAATATACTAATAACCATATTTATTTAGATGATTTTGAAGAGAAGATTTTTCACATTGAAAATTTGATAAAACTAAAATAATAATAAAAAAAATAAAATAAAATTTTGTAATAAATTCAACTCCACATGAAAATAATGAACCACAACGTGGACAAGCTATTGTTTTTTTTTCTTGTATATGTCGTCGAATATATTCTCAGACTCGTGATTCTTATCTGTCCGATGAGTGCAACCTTGAAAATATTAATCTTCGTTGTTTTCAATGAGAAAATACAGCATATGGATTTATTTTCTGTTATTGCGTATGAATCTAAACGATTATTATCTTATCTATCGGTAGGCGTTTACGCAAAAAAA